TTCGAAGGGACAGCTCCATGGCGCAGTGGCTTAGCAATGAGTTGTTGCGCTGGGGGCCGCGGGTTCCAATCCCGCACAGTACAAGTATTTGTATGGCCTACAAATAATTGTTCCGGGTCTGGATGTTTGTCCTTGTGCAATTTGTATTTGTAAACTGCCTCCACGATATAGGTGATCCTAGTGTGGGGGTAACGTTTTAAAAAAAAATTAAATTGAACCAGAGTATTAATTTCTAAGTCTATTACGCAGAGAAACTTCGAGGCAAAGCCCTCTTCATGGCTCGCTGGGCTATCTTGAGCTTCCTCAGCAATGAAGACCACGTCTAAGATATGTAATCCCTAGCAACACGGACTGGTTGTACAATCTTGTTTGAAGGTAAACGTGACGAGAAGATGTTTCGTAGTTTCCCGAACGCTGCCCAGCCGAGTTGAATTCGCCGATTGACCTCTCGGTTGAATCTCATCTTACCAAGTCGGACACAATTTGTCCTAGGTAAACATACTCTTCGACAACTTCGAGCACAGTGCTCCCAACGACTACTGGCATAGCTGCGATATGGACATTACACATGACTTTCATTTTGTCCACGTTATATGCATAGTGCTGAGGTCCTCCAGCGATTTTGCCATAAGGACTATATCGCCGGTAATTCGAAGGTGTGAGTGATGTACTCGTCATTGATGTTGATATCATATGTTTTCCAGTTTAATAACTTGAAAACGTCTTCCAATGCAGCGGTGAAGAGTTTCGGGATATAACGTGACTCTGTCTTACACCTCTACAGTTGGATAGATTTCATACTCTGGTTCTGAACTTGGGTATCCATCGTAGCTCTACTGTACAAACACTCCAGCACATCGATATACCGACAGCCAACTTGGCACCGCTGAATGTACTGTAGCACTATTATACTTATACGCTGTATTATAATTTCACATAATATTTTAACGGAATAAGTGAGTAAAGTTGATTAATTTAAGATAAATACACCGCCTTGGTCCATTTTTAAACTTTCTAGAATTTTTTTTATAGGAGAAGGGCTGCTCACCTGATCGTAAGTGACTACCGCCGCCCATGAATAACTGCAACACCAGGGGAATTACAGATGCGTTGCCGGTCTTTTCAATTGCTTAAAAGAAGGAATTGTTATATTTAAGTAATTAATTATAAATGCTATTATTATAATACAAATTGTAACTATAAATACAATATTATTAACAATGAACTACAAACTAAGCAAACGATAACCTGACTTATAAGTTAAAATTTGTATCAATTATTCATTATCATCTTGTGATTGAAATTAATAATTAATGATCATCGAACGTGTCATAAAAAATACAAGATCGAATCAAATCTAATTAGTTGAGCGGATATTTAGTGTCGATAATACATTAATACTCATAACAATTGGTTACGCTTGAAATTCCAATCTAGCGAGAGTGACTTTGCGAAATCCAATGGAGTAGTCCTATCGTGCTTTCACTTTCAATTACAGAAGACCTTTTTATATTCTGGATGATTTACGACATTTAATAATTTAATTTTCTGCTTCACGTTTTGGGGTGATAACAGTTAGATTAATTATTTTTAAAGTTTATTGTAAAATATTTATATTTTATTTTTTACTTATCACATTGTACCTATACCATAGGGACTAGAAATTTTATTTTTATTTTATAATGCGATGGCTTTGACTGTGACTAAACCTGCAAACATTTGGAGACATGAACCAGTAGATTTACATTGTCCTTTGAAGGCAGTAAAATTTCCACGCATCATTGTTTTCCTTGCTAATTTTCTTTTTATTATAATATACGTTCTTATTCTTCAGCCGCCCACAACAGTCCATTGCTCGATCTTTCGTGTTGGACGATTGCTTTAATCGTTACGTTTGGAGGATCTATCGAAAATCGAAGTCGCAACAGACGTTTTGCATCTTTAACGCTACTCCTCTTCGACGGTATAGGTATTTTTTTTATAGGATAGGGTAACAAACTAGCACACAGTCCACCTGATGGTAAGTGGTAGCTGTAACCTATAGACATCCACATCTATCCTCAATAAAGAATAAAAATGCAGATGCGTTGTCACCCGTGAGGACTAAGATGGAATGCCTCTTTTCCAGTAAAAAGGGTCACCGGTTCTCTACACTCACCATACGAAACACAGCAGTGTTAGGCTACTATTTTACGCTGGTATTCTGTGAGAGCGTGGTCCTTCCCCGGTCGAGTCGACCCATTCGTGCTACAACTATACTATTAATATAGCTGCAGCATGACTCTACCACGTACATATTTTAGGTCTGATGTAAATACCATAAAATTTTTCTGGTATTTCCCATAGCCACCTCTTACCGTGGTGGTACGTGGGTTTACCCACGGGAGGAATATTTTTTTGAGAGATTTATATGTAAAATGAAAGAGAACCTCAGAAATGCAGGTAGCTTTAGGGTATTTCCATTCACTAACGAGTATCCGCTAAATCAACACTTAAAATAGTGTCGCCGATCTAAAACAGGTTGTCCGCGTACTATAATATTTGACACTAGTTCCTAGCCCTTGAGTTAGAAAATAAAACGAGTCGTAAAATCACTTATCCACACTTATCTCTTGGTTACATAATTATAATAATTGCTATTAAAGTCGCTACTTTAAAAAAAAATTCGTAGCTGATGGGCTCATGTGTAATTAGATATAAGATTGTGATACATTTGTGTTTAAAGGAAAAAGAAATGGTATAGTGCGGTGATAAGCGTGGTGAAACTATTAGAGCAGCGTGACAGGTACGTTTTGTAATTCACTCTCGGTGAAATAAAAAGGCCACAAGCGTGTCTTCCAACATTTATCTAGATCGTTGCGTTCTGAGAACAGAGGGATCAGCTACCAAATATCATGACTACCGTCTTACAAATGAGAAAATTTCGCTCTAATTATTTATGAATGTGTTATCGTCATATCTCGGGAGCTCACGACCCGGCGTCTGTGTGCACGACGCGAGCAAACCGTAGGTAATTAGCAAATGTGGCTTTCTTTGTTCTCTTAGTACGTTTCGCTTCGGTATCCTATCTATTACCCTGTGTAAATATTTGCATTTTAAGATGTCGCCAGGGTATCCTTAATAAAACTCCATTACTTTCATTAAGGCTATCGACGGACAGTGGTCGTATCGAGACGTCGGTCGTCATGCCAGCGAAACAACGAAATTGAACGCGATGACACTATCAAAGCTCGCCCATCGCCGCCGCACATCGTCCGATGTTCGCTGCTATCCGCGGTTTTACTTAATTGCAGAATGCGAACAAACCACGATAATGGTTTTAATATCTACATTGCGTACCGAGCTCATTCCCAATAATCCTAAATCTTGTTATGGAAATGATTCGAATAACTAAGCTTCTATAATAAATTACGTTTCAGATTATCGTATGATCCAATCGTAAATTAAGACAAGATACATAATTAAGGTGAATAAATAAAATGTCTGGCATTTCGACGGGAGCACGTTCGATTCATTCGAGCGATATACATATCCGCCATTTTGAGCTATCAGACCCTATTAATAAAGTATAGTTTGATTCGTTTAATTTAATTGCGATTCAATCGCCAACAATATTGAAGGAGGCAGAAGAGTGCGGAGGCGGGAAGGGGTCCTGAATGTCACGACAAGATTTTTAATTACGCCGAAGATATCATCTAAGAACTGCACTCTCTGCAATAAGTCAGCGACACATCGCAAAATTACAATTCAATAATTATCTCCCGGGAACATTGTAGTCTAAAGGAATATTTTTAATTGGTGACAGTTTTAATACTTGTTAACATGCGATTGCCGACTAAAATACTCGTAACGTGAAGTATAAAAGCGATCGGTAATAATGGAGAGCGTACGTGTAACAGCGTGTGTCGAATATGATCCGAGGTTTATTTTCGTTCTTCTAATGCGTCTTTTCTGTCATGCGGAGGACAATTAAAAATACAAAAAGTGAAACGTTTGTTTCAGACATACATTGTCTCCGTTATTAATAAATTCATTTTACTGAGTTGAAGTGGACGTGTATTTTATTCGCTTTAAGTGGTTTCACATTGTTTTATATTTATGTGCGGTTATTTTCGGCGAGAACATTATAATGCAGTTTGTGGGGGAACATGTGAATGTCTCATTCTTGCTCCATTAGAGATATTTGAAACTACGAGAGTGCAGTCATAAATTGACTTCTGTAATAGTAATACACACTTTAAAAATACCTTTAGTTATTGTTCCCCATGTCAGGGAATCCTTAGGGGATTTTACTTATTTAGCCTGTTAAGATTATGAGAAGTGACTTTTTTATTTATACGCACGCTATTCTTAAGAACGCTGCGCTCTTAAGTATATTATTTCCATACAATTTTATACTAACTGTTTTTTTTTATTCAGACGTCTAAAGCTGATGGCACGTCCTCACGCCTCTCTACTGCATTTACTTTACTGCTCTGATATTTTACAGGTAGTGCTCTTAAGTTCCATATGTCCGTTTTTATAGTGTGCTTCGCCCGTTATGGCCTAATGTCACGTGAGTCTCTGATTTTATTCCTTAAGTCGCTTCTTAAAGAAATAAAGCAAATATATTTTATGACAAAATTCATAATTGAAAAAACAAAAGCGTACTTTAGGTATAAAACTGTGGTTATTAATAATTATATTTTATAAGCCGCGTTATAAAAGTTGTTAAAATTAATTATTGTAAAAATAAAGTAAAGTAAAGGGCATATTTCTAGGGAATTTCCGGTTTTACAAAAAGATAGAAGAGGCTCCGCAACAAAGTGAAACAAGATCCACTCTACTAATCCGACAAAAGCGAGCCTTGTTACCCTTCAAATTTATTTATAAGAAAACTCTCGGACAAGTCGTTAATACCTATAAAGTAGGGGCAAGAGAGGCTCGAGCGAGTTTATAACTCACGTACCGAACTTTACTCGCCGACACATAAAATAATAGGTGTAAAAACGTACACGGGAATGTACTCAGTGAGCGAGCGAGCCGCGAGATGGACGGCGGGCGTCCTCACAGACGCGAGATGGCGCGCACATTTTACTACGATCAACGGAGCCTCTACTCGTACATCTACAACGACTTACGTAATATCTATTAATATGCTTAAAAATGTTAAAGTTAAACGATAACTATACGAGTATTATCGAATCGTCCCTTTAATTAGTTAATCGGACGTGACCTGAAGAAATATTATCTTGCATAAATCATGGTAATGAACACCTTTTGGGAATTTTATGCAGCCATTAATTCAGATATCACTGCGGAAACAAACGTCCGTTTATCCTACCATCTGTAGCGCAAGCGCACACCGGTAATCGTTAACCCCGAGGTGATATCGTTTTGAATACTCATTTCCTTCGAATTATTATTCAAACCCTCGCAAGAGGGTCCTAGAGTCCACTTTATTAAAATTGTTTGTTTCCTAAACTTAAAGCTGTATGACACAAATTCGAATTCGGTGCAGATATAACGCAGTGATGCCGCTGGCGACGGGCACGTGCGCCTGCGCACCTTGCATAGCATTCTGTTCTTGGGGTACGGGTGTAACCGGCAATTTTATTTATAGAGCATTGTATTTTAATGTAATGAGTATCGCACGTACTGAAATTATCTTACATTCCTATTTCTTAATTTTATGTGACAAGGTAATTGCAGTTGCTCTTATTTTTCTTACAATGTTTATGTACCTTTAGAATCATTCTTACAATATTAACCTAAATAATGAATGAAGAAAAATAAGACTCGTTCTTATCTTGAGTTTGTATTTAAAATATATATTAGGTATAATATGTTTTGTGCGAGTTTTATGAGATATGGTGCAATATCCTTGTTAGCCTATTTTATCGTTTTTCTTTGTATTATTAAAAAATGTACATGAAAAAAGTTTTTTTTAATAGAATAAGGGTGATAACCAAGCCCACAGTCCACCTGAAGGTATATATTCCTTGACCCATAAACACCTACATTTATTCTTAATAAAGAATCAAAATGCAAATGCGTTGTCACCCCTGATGACTAAGATGGAATGCCTAGTTTTCAGTAAAAAGGTTCATATTCACTTTACGCAGGTGTTCTGTGAGAACGTGGTCCTACCTTGGTCGAGCCGACCCATTCGCGCTACAGCGCAAGTAATCATGAATGAGAAGTATGAGAATAATATTTTCTGTTGTAGAGTCAAGCTCAGGCAGCTTGACTCTATAACAGAAAATATTATGCAGCATGAATGGGTCAGCACGAACGGAAAATAGCAGCATAGTGCTGCTCTTCTACGTACGGTTAGTGAATAGTATTTGCGACACTTTTTACAGGTACTGAAGAATAATGTAGATTTTTACAGGCGACGGCATCTACTCAATGTAGACTCTGTGCAGTTTTGATATATTTTCTTATATAAAAAGTATAAGAGGATACCATAACATTTTACCAAATACTCAGTGCTATAATCAAAAATTAATGTACACAAAAGCAAATCCCGGATCTTACACTGCAATTTTACAATAGTAAAATCCAGCTTTGTGAGAAACAAAATTGTATTTTAAATTTTAGGTATGAAATTATAGATTAAACTTTTATACTCGTAACTTAACATTTGCTTGTTGTTGGGAATGTATTACTTATAAATAATGTTTTAAGTCACCTAACTTAATTAAATAAATCAAATAAAGTATGATAAGTTAAACAATGTTGTCTGAAACTTATTAATTCCTCCGTCAACCTATCTTCAATATCTTGCATATTGATTTAATAGATGTTTAAGAATAAATATTGAGAAACATGCTTAATGCAATTGATAATTTTTCAGAATCACAAAAATTAACAATGCAATTGATAATTTTTGTGATTCTCTGCATCATTTTAGATATTAAAAAGTACTGAAATATTTTATATGGATGTGGAGGAAGCGAGAGAGGTGTGTCAGGATCGTGCCAAATGGAAGTCCATAATCTCTGCCTACCCCTCTGGGTGACAGGCGTGAGTGTTTATGTTTATGAAATATTTTACGTAATAAGTATTATAGATTCATTATTTTAAAATTTTTATCTTATTTTAGAAATTTTGTTTATTGTTACACGTGTTTATAACACAACGTTATGTTACTTTTAATTATTACTCCTTCTTAGTAGGGTAAAACTATATGGTCAGTGCTGTGTACACCAGTACCTAACTGGTTCTCATATAAGGCTACATAATTTTTGTAAAAACTTTTTTTAAATTTAAGGCATATTGTGAGCACTGTTTATTTACCTAAATAAATTAATAAACAAACCGTATTATGATTTCTTATATTTACACGAACACTACAGATTAAATAAAAGTACTTTTACGGATTTCATCGCGTTTAATTTACATATTTTTATTAATTCCCGACGTTTCGGGTGCTTTACAGCACCCATGGTCACGGGGGATTGAGGTGATTGACGTCCCGATGTCAGAGTTGACCCGGAGTACCTTCAGCTTTTTTAATTATTAATTTTGGTCCGATCTACGCAGAATGAACTTACTGTGTCTTGAAGTCTTTCAATGGTATGCTTGGGTTTACTTTTAATTTTATTAATGACAGGATTCCAAGCAGGTGGTAGTACCCAGCCTTCCTCTCTATTGTAATTAGGATGTTTTTTAATTTCAATAGCCTCACATATTATCCTTGGCAGGAATCGATATTCTTTCGCGAGAACTTGTGGTTTATCAAATCTAATTTAATGGCACGGGCCGTCTAGGATATGATCGCAAACTGCAGACTTCCCGGAACGTTGGTGCTTCACGTCAGAACACATAGCTGAAAAAAGCTGAAGGTACTCCGGTTCAACTCTGACATCGGGACGTCAATCACCTCAGTCCACCGTGACCATGGGTGCTGTAAAGCACCCGAAAGTACTTATATTCAAACCGTATTATCTATAATATAAAAATGAATCGCTGAATGTGTTGCTAAGCCCAAATCTCGAGAGAAGCTGAACCGATTTCGCTAATTCTTTTTTTATAATATTCCTTGAAGTACGAAGATGATTCTTACAGAGAAAAAATTTAAAAAATTGCCCGAGAAAGTATAAAAACAACACTTTTCTATATTCCCATACAAAAGATTCGTAATAATACTTAAAAGTCAATTTGAACTTTAATACCATAACATAAAGTTTAAGTGTTAGTGGAGGGGTTCCGGGAAGGCAAAACAATTATAATTTTTATTTTTTGACATAATGTAATTGTTGACTTATCAACTTTCTTTTTCTTTTTTTATCTTACTAGCTGACCCGGCGTCCCAAATGGCCGAATAAGTGTTAAAAAAAATTAAAGAATTGACTGTTAGGCAGTACGAAGTTCGCCGGGTCAGCTAGTTTTACATAAAATAATGCAGGACAAATTGTTAATTAAATTATTCATATTTTATAAAAGTTGGAAATATAAGGATGGCAATACTGCTATTAAAGAATTTAATTTGACGATTCTGATACGGATACTTTATTTTTGCATTAATGCCAACCAGTTCTTCCAATGACCGAGGTCAATCAGCCACTATGTTCGAACTATAAATTTCTTTTAATAAGACACAAATGCAACTTTCTGCTCGTTTTTGACTCGGCGGCTAAGAAATTTAAATAAGACACTTTTATCAGATTCGACAGGTGGTGGTGTCTTCTTGTTCGTTTTAGCTTCGCTGTAGGTTACGGATTAGTCTGTTACTAATCGATTCTCGATACGGAACGCATCGTATGCATAGTTATGCTCTATGATTCTATTGCCAAATTATTCTTGTTTCTATGATTCGTACTAATATCCACACCAGCTGCGCCTCGCGGTTTAACTCGCATGGATTAATATTTTTATTCTGTATTGTATTCGTAATTACATGTTAAAGCATGTAGATGCAGTATCTATATAAGAATATATTTAGGTATCTGTGTTTTTCTATGGTCTGGTAACCGCGAACCATGAGGGTATCTATCATATTCTCAGACCAACAAACAAACAAAGATGGAGCGCTACATTTCAAGTGACGCAAAAACCAGATCAAAATCATGCTCAGATTTTTGACACATACACTCAATAATTCTTCTTTCTTTCTTGGTTGGTGTGGTATGTCATCATATTTTAAACTTGGTAGAGCCATGCTGCAGCTATATTAATTGTATAGTTGTACCACGAATGGGTCGGCTCGGCCGGGAAGGACCACGCTCTTTCAGAATACTAGTTTAAAATTAGCAGCTTAATGCTGCCGTGTTTCCTGTGGTGAGTGTAGAGAACCGGAGACCTTTTTTACTGGAAAAGAGGCATTCCATCTTAGTCCTCACGGCTGTCAACGTATCTGCATTTTGATTGGCAAACGAGGATAGATCTAGTATCTATGGTCCATAGCAACCACTTACCATCAGGTGGACTGTGTGTTCGCTTGTCACCCTTATCCTATAAAAAAAATAGGGTAAAAGTGCCGAATATGAGATACCATTTTCATTTTTGCGTATTTCTCGTAAAATATTACGGGCAAAAAGGTAATTTTACGTTAAAATAAATTAGATTAATTGTATATATATATTTTACCAATAGTGCTTACCGATTCTAATATAAGTGATATAACAAAATAATACACTTTTTCTATGCAAGCATGAAGGTATCCTAAAATTTTTAGGCAATTCCACTTTTGAGCACATTTAAATGAAAAATACAATTAATTAATATTCTTTTATTGACTTTAGTTATACGTTAGAGTAGCAATCAGCGTTTATTTATATTAAGAATAAAAATATTAAGAACTAGCTGTGCCCGCGGCGTAGCTCGCGTATACAGGTTTTACATAAACAATTTGTCGTTTAGGTAAGAGAATATTAAACGATTTATTTCATTACTGTATCAATAAGTGGTAACAAAATAAATCATTATCATCAAAGTTCTAAATCATTTATGATAGAGCTTCTGTGTAAACGACGTGAGTAGCAGGCTTAGCCGGGGTGTACACTAAAAGGTTACGGGGGCTACTAACGCGGGAAAAAGCAACATAGAGTTGGCCATGTGCAAAACAGTCAGTACTGAGGTACACTCCTACAACGCGTAAAGTTTGACCTTGCGCTTTATTTACGGTCATCGCATA